AAAGACTTTCTGAAAGTGCTTTCTCAGCCTTTGAAATGCTTCCAGATTCCGTCATCTCCTTTTCATCTCAACATCAAAGTTGGGAAAAGGCTCTTCCACGCTGAGGACAGGTGTTCACATGTGGTTGGCCCAGGTACTTTGCTACCCTATTAATCTCTCTCTCTCCCCCTTTCTCTTTGCATCTTCAGAGTCAGGCACTATTACTCTTTGATTTCTCTGAGCTTTTTGCTGACCTGCACTGTCTTTGCTAGCAGGCTGCTGACACATTTCAATAGGTGACTTGGCTCATAAAAATAGGGAGGAAAAAGAACGAGAAGGGGCTTTACTAGAAGCATGGTCAGCACACAGGAAATGCTCAGTGTGGCAGAAGTACACTAAAGTACATTTATTAACTGGTTTTATAAAAAAGTGCTCACTGTCTGGATGACCTGAGTCTCAACTCCTATCATCTTTTTTTTTTTCTTTTCAAAACCTGGGACAGCTATGAAACTCCCAACTATGAAACTCATCTTGAAGACAGAAGTCAAAATACAGGGGATGGTAAAAAACATGATTGGGGCTCATTCAAAAAATTCAAATTCTGTACAACTGGAAGGTGAGTTTATCCACGTCATGTCTTAATTCACTAAGAGCTTGCCTATGGGTAAGCTATGATATCATTCTCTTCCTAAAGCTCCAAGGCCAGAAAGTGTTTTCTTAATCCCACATTTCATGGGGTTTTCCTGTTTGTTGCTTTTGTTCCAAATTTTTCATCAGCTCTAAACATAAGTCACTAACTAAATTGAAATTGAGCACATGGAAAAGGAGTAGGCAGAGCTGTGGAATAAGTTCTATCTAAATAGGTGTATCTGGGAGGCCAAGGAGGGTAGATTGTTTGTGCTCAGGAGTTTGAGACCAGGCTGACCCTCATCTCTACTAAAAATAGAAAGTCTAGCCAAGCGTTGTGGCAGGCACCCAGTCCCCCATCTACTCAGGGAGGCTGAGGCAAAAGGATCGCTTGAGCCTAGGAATTTGAGGTTGCTGTGATGGCACTCTAGCATGGGGTAACAGAGCGAGACTCTGTCTCAAAAAAAAAAAAGTGTACATACGGAGTAATACACAGTAATAGTAAGTACTATGAATTGAATACTGTCTTCCCCACAATTCCTGTCCACCCTAAACAGAAAGTGACCAAAGAAGGTCAGAAAGTGAAAATAGGACCCTTGCAGATGTATTTAGTTAAGGATCTTGAGATAAAATCATCTGGAATTTAGGGTGGGTCTTAAATCCAATGACTAGATTGAAGAGGTCACACAGAAAGATCCATGGAGGAGGTAGCAATGTGAAGATGGTAGCAGAGGTGCAGCAATCAGTCTACAGGACTGCCAGCAACTAGCAGGGTCAGGAGAGGCATGGAACAGACTTTCTCTTAGACCTCCAGAAGAAGCAGCCCTCCCCACACCTTGATTTCTGACTTCTAGCCTCCTGAACTGTAAGAGAATACATTTTTGTTTTAAGCCATCCAGTTTATAAGCCACTGCAATTTGTAATAACAGCCTTAGAAAATGAATACAGTAGATTAACACCTGCTGTAGGTGGGCTTGAAGAGACCAGAGACACTGCTACCTACACTTGGTTGGTTGTAAACACTTTGACATTCTCACCTGACCCCTTCAGCCGACCTCTGACCTTTTCCTGACCCTCCCTAACCTCTTCCCTTCCTTTCCCTGAGACTCTGAGGTATGGTATGGGGAGGGCTGAGGTCAGGGAGTGTGGGATGTGGTGCAGGCCAAGAGGAGCTCAGGGCCAGGCATGTGTTAGATTCAGGGTGGGGGGGGGCATCAGGATAAAAGATCAAGGTCAAGAGTTGGGTGAACCTATCTGAGCACACAGTGCCTAATAATTTTAAAAGTCAATAGTTAGAAGAGCAGACTTTGCTTCCTTTTCATAGGAAGCTATTCAATTTAGTAGCTCTGACCAGTGTGGTACATAGAACAATGGCCCCCCAAAGACATCCGTGTCTTAATTCTCAGAATCTGTAAACATGTCTGAATATAGGAAAAGGGACCTTGCAGTTGTCCCTCTAGCTAATGGCCTTGAGATGCGCAGATGATCCTAGATTGGGTGAATGGGCCCAATGTAAGCACAAATGTCCTTCTGAAAAGGAAGAAGGAAAGTCAGAGGCAGAACAGATGTGATGACAGAGGGAGAGAGGGATGTGAAGATATTACGCTGCTGGCTGTGAAGGTGGAGGAAGGGGTCAGAAGCCAAAGGATGTAGGCAGCCTCTAGAACTGGAAAAAGCAAGGGAGCCAATTCTCCCTGGAGCCTCTCTGAGAAAGGTCAGGAATGTTGCCTGACCAATGTTTTGATGTTAGCCCAGGGAGACCCACTGTGAACCTCTAGTGTACAGAGCTATATGAGAATAAATCCATGTTGTTTAAGTCACAAAGTCTGTAGTAATTTGTTACAGCAGCCATAGGAAGCTAATACATTTGTCTTCTTCCCAGGCCATGGACAAGCTCCCCTGTGGGAGGGTGCTGCCCACCACTTCCCAGCCTTCACCTTCAGGAGAATCACGGTGAGCAGCTCTCCCTGGCCAGTCCCCTCTCTTGGAGATATCTTGTGATATCTCCACACTGAACCATCTTTGGCTTCATAGGAAACATTTATGCTACAGCACATTTCCTAAACAACAGAGCTGCAGTCCTTTGCAACGCCAACACTCATGCTCCCTCTCCCTCTCAGAGAGACTCAGCATCTCTCAGTCTTGTTCTTCCCTGCACACTGTCAGGTGTATACATTCTCAGCCTTGGTGCTTCCCCAAGGGAGGACTCTCAAACCTCCCCACCCCACACACCCTCTGTCCCTTCTCCATGCCATTCAGAATCACTGCATTATAGACCTTTCAGATCTTTACCCAGGTACCTATCCTCATATCTATCTATGTATATGTATGTATTATCTATCACCTGGCAGCTGGGGTTGTAGGGACCAGTCCTTACAGACCATCTGGAATGAAGGTGCTTGAGAATCAGATGACGATGCCCCAACCATCAATGCCTTGGCATTTCACCTGCCATCTGCCCCCTGCCCCTGGAACTGAGATAAATGAACTCTTAGAGAAAGGATTCCAGGGCTGTAAGTTTCTGCTATTCACTGGTAGGATCTTACCTAGAAACTAAATTGAGCAATAGAAAAATAAAGAAAGTTGTTTTTCCTGCTCATCTGGATGTGTGAAAGGAGATTTGTATCCATGACAACAGTCTATTGTAGCTTACTCAACCATGCCCAGAAGAGTGGAAATTTTTTCCCTCCCCACTCACAGGAAGCTATGAAGATTGTATCAAAGTATTGCTCTTCCTTCCCTTGGTAAGAACAGTCTCACCTTTGTCTTATTAATAGGTTGATATTTTGGTGGTATTTTCCAGGAACAGCATTCTAGAGATGAAAGTTTTGTCTGGATATGTCAAGCGTGCTCTTATCTGAAGGTCTTTGTCTGCCCTTCACTTCCACACGTTTCCGCCCAAATGTCCCCAAAGGCCTTCCTGGGCCATCCCATACAAAATAGTAACCCCATTCCCACCACCCTCTCAAACTGCTTTAGTTGTCTTTACAGTGCTTTTCTCCAGTTGATATAGTATATATTTGTTTACTCAGTTTCCCGCCGCTAAAATGTAAGCTAAAAGGTAGGGCCTTTGTGTTGCCTCTGCTCTGTTCCCAGTGCCTAAACAGTGACCACACTAGAAGGTGCTCTGCAAATATTTGTTGAATCAATGAACATAAATTCTTCTACAGATAGCTTTTTGTTTTAACAAATTCGTTGATTTGTTGAATCAATGAATATAAATTCTTCTACACATAGCTTTTTGTTTTAACTTTCTGCATTAAATTTCATCCCTTTTTTCATATTGTCTTTAAGGTTCCCTATAACACAGCTCTTGACAAACAGGACCCTTATCTTTACACATTTCTCTGGAACGTAATAGATGCTTGATAAATATTTACTAAAGAAAGGAAAGGAAGAAGAAATATGTAAGCAAATGAATTAGACATATCTTAGCAACAGTGTGGCTGAGAGCCATGAGAGGCGAAAAAGTAACCCCTCTCCCCGACCCCAGGATGGTTCATTCAAGTTGTTCAGCAATTTTGGCTGATTTGAGTGTATAGTTATAAAGTGTTGAATTTACCTGCCCCCCAAAAATGGAAAAATTGGGGGTGGGCAGGTAGAATGAGAGGGGGAAAGGGGCTCTTAAAATAGTAAAGGAGAGAAAAAAAAGAGGAAACCAGGAGAGAAAAACATGAGACATTGGGTAACACTGTAAGGACGGAAGAAGCACTTTTCAGAGCACTTTGGTATGCGTTACACTCCATGTAAGTTGTTTGTATTACTGTGCTGTAAATTCCCTGTGGCCCAGGCCATCAAGAAATTTGGCTACCCTCACAGAGGCATTGGTTTTTGTGTGTGAAAATCAAGGAAAATAGCAAATTCCTCAATTAGCTCAAATCAAAAAGGAGCCAAAACAAACCTACAGAAACAAGACACAGGGGGCTAGAAACAGATTCCAGGAAGGCAGGATGTCAAAACCAAATGTGACCATGAGATTATAAACCACAAGGACTTTGGAGGATCTTGAGGAGGACATGAGACTGTCCATGGGGTGTGGAATGGGTGTTCTGAGTGTTACCAGTTCTTAAGGGGCAGAGAGACCCAGCTGACACTTAGCTCACCTAAATAACAGTCTCCCTGTTTCAGTTCCCAGCCTGGGGCCTTGCCTTCACACAGGTCCCTCTGCTCTTAATGGTGCAATTGGATTGAGACCCACAGTTTTTTGCCTGAGTTCATTTGCAAGTCTGTACAAGGGATGGCCTTGAACACGGTTCATTTTCTTTACCTGCTTTTCCAGTTAGATTGACAATTAAAGATTGCTTTCTCATGCTTCCCTTTGTTAGGATTTAGCTTTTCTCCCATCCCCACACCCAGCTTACCCAAAGTTCTAGTTTGTCTGGAATCTCACATACCTTTTAGGAAAAGAAATGCTACCACATCCAAAAGGTGTAAAGGTCCCGAGGATAACTTGATTTGGCAAGTCACTGAATATGTTGGTATACATGCCACCCTGAGGGACGTCAGAATAGCTTTGGCAGATAGCTAGACGACCAGAGGGATAGATAAAATCCAAGTTAAGGAAATGGTATTGACCAAAAACAACAATGAGGGCCTGGCACTGTGGCTCACACCTGTAATTCCAGCTACTCTGGAGGCCAAGATGGGAGGATCTCTGGAGCCCAGAAATTAGAGACCAGGCTAGGTAACATAGCAAGACCCTGTCTCCCAAAACAAAAACCAATAATACTAATAGTAACTGTTACATAGAAAGATGCTAACTCTGATACATACATTCTATTTTCTTTCTTTTTTTTTTTTTTAGAGATAGAGTTTCACTTTATCGCCCTCAGTAAAGTGCTGTGGTGTCACAGCTCATAGTAACCTCCAGCTCTTGGGCTTAGGCGATTCTCTTGCCTCAGCCTCCCAAGTAGCTGGGACTACAGGCACAGGCCACAACACCCGGCTATTTTTTGTTGCAGTATGGCTGGGGCTAGGTTTGAACCCGCCACCCTCGGTATATGGGGCCACCACCCTACTCATGGAGCCATAGGCACTGCCCTCTATTTTTTTTTTTTAATCAGCTATTTATAGATAAGGCAGCAGAGGTCTGGAGAGAGGGCCTCTCTTTGCCACAGTCACTGAGCATGCTAATTGTAGTGCCAGACCAACACAGTCTTCCTGACTCCCAGTGGTCTGTTATTCCCACATGTTCACTGTGTGGCAGCCTCATTTTAGCCCCTTATTCTATGAAACCTGTCTGAATAATAACGGGAGAATCTGGGCAGACTGATTCTGCTCATGGTAGTCACTGGTATTGAAAGGTGTGTGTTGCTACCTAGTATTTCCCAGAGAGGTCATTCCAGCATAGCACAGGAGGCTCATGTGTCCCCATCAAATTATGAGCATAATTAATTAGGGGCAAAGGAGGGCTGAAAGATAATGATGGATATGTGAACAATTTCACAAAATCTATATGTAGCGCCCTTTACAACAAGGACTATGATGGATTCTTGAGGCCTTTCCCATTTTGGATCTGCAGGAACTGATTACGAAATCCCTCTTGTCTTTCAACTAGATTTTATATATCCCCATGGAGTTCTTACTAATTAGGAAAATGAACCAAGGTGAACTCATTTTTTGAGAACTCCATGAGCCTTCAGATACTTAACAACAACAACAACAACAACAAATCAGCTATAATCAGAGCTTCCTTTAAAAAGGAAGTTTGTGAACTAGGGAAAATTGTCCTGCCTCCAGTGTGAGGCAAGGTGGACTCCCAGGGAGAAAGGGATTGAACAAAGTCAAGGTTTGAGGCCTTTTTCCCCAGTGCTTCCTGGGATTTTCCTGCTAAAATGGAAACTCTCATGTGCCAGCCCCTTCCATCAAGTCCTGCCTCCTTCATCCTCCTTTCCCCTTGGGAACATCACAAGGATACTAGGTGAGAGAGGAGCCATCTACCAGGGCATAATGGAATTTTTTCTCCTCAGGGCCAGCCTTTCTGATGACGGGCATCTGAGGCTTCTTCTCCAGCAGCTGCAGCCAGAAACTCTGGGCACCCTGGTGGCCTCTGCTTATCTGCTCACCCTCAGGCTCGTCATAGTGGCGCAGGATGAGTTGTTTGTTGAAGCCCTCTTTTTTTAGCTTATCTTCTTCTGTTTTTCTGTTCAAAAGAAAAGAATTTAAGATGTGGCTCATTTCTTGGTCTTATGAAGGTCTAGAGGAGGGCCGGAGATTGTTTGAGGACTCCAGAACCTCACTTGTACCACTGATAGAATCCTTAACATAAATTGCCATGTGAGTTGATTCAACTTACACTTGTTTTGAGCCCAGGGACTCAGGAAGCATATATAACTCACATGTCTCTTAATCTGTTTTGACCTAATAAAAACACCACGGCCCCAAGGAAAAAAATTTTCTTCTAGTGTCAAGGTTTATCTGTTAAAACAGAAGAACTAGATTTTGAAACAGATTTGCCCTGAGTCCTTAGCCAAATGTTCACTGAGTGTTTAATGTTTTTATTTATTTTTCGTTATTTTAATTTTTTTTTTTCTTTTGAGATAGAGTCTCACTTTGTCACCTTGGTAGAATACCGTGACGTCATATTTCACAGCAACCTCTTGGGCTCTAGGGATTTTCTTGCCTCAGACTCCCCAGTAGCTGAGACTACAGGTGCCCACCACAACATGGGGCTAGATTCTCTATTTTTAGTAGAGACTGGGGTCTCGCTGTTGCTCAGGCTGGTCTCAAACTCCTGAGCTCAGGCAATCCACCCGCCTGGGCCTCCCAGAGTGCTAGGATTACAGGTGTGAGCCACTATGCCCTGCTATTTGTTTTTTGTTGTTAATAACTGTTTGTAAACAGTTATTGAACACCTACTGTGGTGAGCACTGTCCCAGGGTCTACAGGAAATGTAAGGACCAGTACATTAGTCCTTTTTTTTTTTTTTT